GAACACTTGCTTTATAAAGCACTTGATCCGATAGCGCTTGCTCCATCATGGATGATGCAATGCGTCGCGAGACCTTTGGGGACGATGACAGTGACGTTGCCTCTAGAGGTAGCGGTGCCGAGTCCCTTCGGTTCATAGTACCCCAAAATCATCACGCTCACCGATCGAGGGACGTCTATCCCATTCTGTGTCTTCTCCTCGAAAGGAGACAACCCTTTTGCGCCAAGCGCCACCAATTCCCTCGCAAGAGGGTACCGACGAAGAGGTAACCAACCCTCTTAACGCTGCACAGCGTCGTCAACTTGATGACGAGGCTCGAGCGACCGCTTTGGCACGGCCCAAATAAGCGTTTTCACGACGTGATTATGGGTTTGTGCCCCGGGAACCCAATGAGGAAGCTCGACGAGCTGCATCGCTAGTTTTGCGAACCGATGTCATTAGGTCCCATGCCTGTACGGCCTGCGAGAATGCAGATAGTGTTGCTTTTGTGAACGGCTCCTTACTCCCCAGGAGGTTACGATGAAATCGTATGAAGAACGGCTGTCACGACAGTCACGTGGGGTACCTGTGCACCCACTAAACGGTATACCAGTGGTGCTTGCACCAGCAAAACATCTGCACAAGATGATCACCAGTTCACCCGTTGGGTAGAACGAGCATGTAAGCTCCTAAGATTGTCAAACTTGCTCTTAAGCGCTAAAGCGCAAGACATTTAGTTAGAACGTCGTCTACGTTTTAACTTCGCTAAGATCAAAGCAAAATAAGCGCAAATTATTTTTCACATACAGGTCAAAGCCTTGTGGGGATCAATTTTCTAAAGCTGTTGCCCGTACCTCTCACTCGAGTGATGTACCGACATTGGCTTCTTCTAAAGGTCAGACGCAAAGCCAGCCTACTGACCCTACTTCCACAGCACCTAGTGCTAGGAAGCGTCCGACGACAGATGTCGTCGCTTCTGACCGTCCTGGTCAAAAGCGTCAACGGCATCAGGGCAATCCTGCCGGAGGGGTACCTCATACTCTCACAAGTCATACGACTGGGGGTAACCTCTCCACTTCACCAAGTATTGGGTATGACCCTGGTGAAGACGCCGAGCCAAAAGGCGCTCTACGTGGAGCTGTTGATGGCCCAGGTCATCAATCAGCGTCGGAGGAGGTCGATGATCCATTGACCTCTCATCTCTCTGACATTGAGCGTCGCCTGACGCTCCTGGGGCGTGATGCCCTTGCATCGGTGAGGTCTCACCTGTCATCGCTCGATGACCGTGTCGATCGACACCGTCGGCTTTTGAGCGTTATCGCTCAGAGATCTCAAATCGCTTAACGGCGATTGAGCGTTTTTAAGCCGAACTGCGATGTCAGATCGACCTCCTGGTACGCCTTCAGCGTCCATATGCACCTCCGGTGCAGTATTATCCGCCTCCTTCTGTTGGGGATATGGGGATCGTAAAAAATTATAAATAAATATATTAATTTTTTTCTTTGGCAATAACTACTAAAAAGTAATTAAAAAAATCAAAAAAATGAATATTTTTTATAAATAATGTTATTTTATTATTGAAATAATATTAGTTTAAAGTCATTTTATTCGTATTAGTCAATCCAAATTATACAGAAATACAATGGAGTACAACGGGCAGTTTCGTGGTGGTCGAGGTGAACGTGGCTTTGGATGTGGAGGGAATTAAGGAAAGGGATGTCGAGGAAGAGGACGAGGACAAGGTGGTAGACGTAGACGTAGAGATAGAGGTAACTTTAATCTCTTACAACATCGCCATGAAGAGCAGGGATACACAGAAGGTTACGTAAATTCACAACATCGGTATCCACCACCACAACTACAGCAACAGCAACATCAATATAGCAATGGAAATACACTTGATGCATGGTATTACTTTTGAATCTTCTAGGTATCTGAAGCATCAGTATCAATTACTACACCAGAAAAAACTGAAGCAATATCAACCATTCGAGATTCCCCAAGATCAGTATCAACAGCCGCAATTTCAGCAACAGGACTATACAAGTGATGGTAGAAAGGGATACACGAATGTCGATCCGTCTCTATGTCATCCACCAATAGATAAATATGAATTTTAGCCCCAACCAGTGTGTCTATAACAATTTTAGCAACCACCCCCTCCTCCGCAGTATCAGCAGCCTCCGCCTCTATCTCTACATCAGAAGTACCAGAACGAAAGCTCGACGGGTCCGGCCAATCTACCAATGCCGCCGATGCCGATAACTGCACAACCAGCAGCAGACTACGCAGAAGCTGCACGATCAAGACAAGAGGCATATGTACCAGTTTCACCAAATGAAGATGTGTCCAAGACATAGCATATGTCTTACCGAGAGCGAAGTCAACCACCGCCGCCGTCGTACTAACAGCTGCAGCAACAGCCTCCATTACCACTTGTACCACAACATTTACGTGGTGACTGGAACTATTAACCTCAACAAAGTCAACGGTGGCAACAACGTACACCTCAGCAACAACAGTTTGATAGGACCACGCGCACCAAGAACTACACCCGAAAGATCAAAGCCAAACCCAGAGATACCAGCATTCACGCTTTCAGAAGCGTTGACAAAACAAAGCAGCAGCTAACATCCCCGCTGTCATACATCTGCTACAATTGCAATTAATCTGGCCAGTGTAAGCAGTATTGTCCGCTTTTTGATAAACGAATGGCAAACTGTCCCGTTATGCACAATACCAGCAGGAAAGATGAAAGACATGCCTCATTTACGAAGAAATCGCAGTCAGAACGTAGTCTGAAGACGACTCATATGGAGCGCAGACAGTCAAGCAAACCGAAGGTTGGTAGGAAATTAAGTAACAGAAAGGAGATGAAGCCCACTCAGAGTGTGGCACCCCCTGGTACGCAACAACAGCACAAGAGCGATCATGGGTCCAGTGACCACCCAGTCTGGAAGTGGTGCCTGGATAGTGCTGCAAATGTTCATGTTGGGTCTTCTCGGTCACCTCCATGACAGACTCAGAGTCTTTGTTGATCAATAATCTTTCTCAGCACAGACTATGCTTTTAAATGCTCATGTTTTTTTTGTATTAACCTCGCTGTGGTCATCAAAGCAATAGTTGCATACACGAGAGCAAGCGCCACTACTAGCACATACCCAGTCAGAAAATGCCAACTATGTAAAGTCGCTTCATTTCAACGCGTGAAGAATACTTTGACATTTCAACTTTAATATAGTCTCGCGTCTGGGACTTGTTGACAAATTTGGTTGATCAAGCGAGTGAGATCAACACCAAAGACACGTATAGCCCACTGGCAATTTGTAGCGAGTTTACACGAATATGTGTATTTTACATACACACCTGCCACACCAATGTGGTGTGGCTGTACCTTGGGTACAAAAGTAGGTGATGTGACCGTACCTGAAGTACGAAGGGCCGCATCGTGGCAGAGAGCCAACAGGTCACTATACTTATTTAAAGTATAGTGACTATGCATGTTTGCATAATAATAACAGGCTATAGAGCCAGTAAATAGTGACTAGCACTAAGTATAGAGTAGGTGCTTCTATATTTGGTGTTAGAAGATAAACATCAATATAAATCAGATTCAACCTGCTCTGTAAGTAAGCCTTACAGCTTTAGCGTTCTATTCCTCCTGAGGAATCAGTATCTTTCATACTAGTCTTCTTGAGACGCGGTTGTAACAATTGATTGGCACAAGCTTACGAGCTAGCGTAGGAGGGTTAAGCACCCTAAGACGTAAAGCGCTCTGAGCTTGTCTTCCTCTGCACATAGTGCATCAGTAGCTTTGCTACAGTAGTCTGACTACTTCTTCTGCACATAGTGCATCTGCACATAGTGCATACGTAGCGTAGCTACAGTATCTCGGCTTCGCATCCAATCGAATTGGTCTAATTGAAATAGGGTCATCGTTCTTAAGTTCAGGTACTCCATCTGAATACACAACAGTAGCTTGCTTCCGCTCATCAACAATAAGTCCACAACAGTAGCTTGCTCCCACTTAATAACAATAAGTGAAAGCAAGCTACTGTTCTTATTCAGTTGGAGTACCTGAACTTAAGAACGATGACCCTATTTCAATTAGACCAATTCGATTGGATGCGAAGCCGAGATACTGTAGCTACGCTACGTATGCACTATGTCAGATCACTATGTCAGAAGAAGTAGTCAGACTACTGTAGCAAAGCTACTGATGCACTATGTGCAGAGGAAGACAAGCTCAGAGCGCTTTACGTCTTAGGGTGCTTAACCCTCTACGCTAGCTCGTAAGCTTTCCAATCAATTGTTCAACCGGTCTCAAGAAGACTAGTATGAAAGATACTGATTCCTCAGGAGGAATAGAACGCTAAAGCTGTAAGGCTTACTTACAGAGCAGGTTGAATCTGATTTATATTGATGTTTATCTTCTAACACTAAATATAGAAGCACCTACTCTAACTTAGTGCTAGTCACTATTTACTGGCTCTATAGCCTGTTATTATTATGCAAATATGCATAGTCACTATACTTTAATAAGTATAGTGACCGCGTGGCTCTCTGCCATGTGCGACCCTTCGTATTTCAGGTACGGTCACATCACCTACTTTGTACCCAAGGTACACCAGGGCCAGGTGTTTATGTACAATACATGTGACCCCGTTACAGAAAATAGTCAGCTTTTAATTATTAATTTTACTAGATATCTTAAAAACTTAGGTTTAGATTTTGAAAAGATATACTCTACTAATATAAAACCTCACATAAAATAAACCAAAACGCGTGGGTCGAGACAATAGCTGCGGACCAGACATTATGTCGAAAGCACCAACACCAACGTTAAAACACATTTTTCATCTTCGTAGATAAATTTTGATTAGGACAATCATAGGTGATAAATCGCGAATTCGTTGGATATCGAGCCGTAAAGTTGACAAGTATGTGTTCAAGCCAAGTACTTTAAAGACTACGGAGACTTTGCAGTTATGTTAAAATTTATCGGAGCTGCTCTTGTCCGACTAAGATCCCATAGAGCCACTGCTGCTGCCTTGGCTATCGCGGCTACGCTTGCGTTGTGGTGTGTCGTCACCCGTAGAAGATGGACTTAGTATATCAGAAGTAGTCTCGGGTGGCACATATGCCATCATTCGAATCCAGCGACGGCGGCGAACTGACGCCCCCAAACGCTTCATACTTGACTTGCCACGAGCCAAGTGAAACTTGAAACGCGGAAAGTCTGTCGCATAACTCCAGCCTTCATCGTCGCAATCCGTGTAGCTCTTGTCGATACGCCATGGGGTCGTCCAGCTCCAGTTAGGAGGTAACGAAACCTGCTCAAAGCTCATTGCCTTGTCACCGTCTCGATTTGAGAAGCGAGGACGATCTGTAGGCAGCAAATGGTTGGGCGCCCACTTTCCAAACATGCTTACACGCTGATTTTCAAAAATCTCCTCAAGCCCAACGCTTCCATCCAGGGTACTATTATAGCGCGAGACAGTAGGGCGTCGGCGAGAAATGACCCCTGTGGAAGAACTTCGCCGCGGCCGGCTAGGTGCACCGTTCATATGCTCAGCATTCGAAACAGGGTAGAGTTCTTCGAATGTTGCACTTGGTTCCTCCGCATCCAACGCCTTCTTTAATCCTTCAAACACCATGTTTGTGCTCTTAATGACACCCTCTTTTGTAGCAGACACGATCTTAGACTTAAACATTGTGCTTTTCGAAAAAGGGATTCCAATATATACCTTAGCAACTAGTGGAGACCCAATAGCATCCGTGCTTGGCTCAATTGCATACACCGTTTCGACGTGGAAGCAGTCCCCATATGGAATTTCAAGTAGTGTCAGCTTATGTTCAATTGCAAGTCGATCCGTCTCCAAGCTGTCACGGTCCTGAAATGAGAAAGGAACATGCACAATCTGTTCAGCCATCGTCGAAGATGGCCCAAGCGGTATCGTGCTTTTAGCGCGGTATTTTATCACGCGCACCTGACCACCGTACTCTTTCGAGTCCTCCCACTTGCCGACTACGTGTTCCGTGTCTCCTGCTTCTTTGTGAATGTTCTGCCATCGGGCCAACGTATTGTCAGCGTAAAATAGATCGAAGAAATGCAAAGCATTTTTTATAGCCGGATGCAATTCATACTCGCCCACAAGCTGCCTTTCTTCATCGCCGGACACTAAGAAAGGCTTTGCTGGTGCAGCAGCTAGAGAGGTGCTTAAGTTATCCATCGAACGATTTACCATGTGAAAGTACAACCGCGATGAACTATTCACCGCTTCGCGTGTCGCCGAAATAATCTTTGACTTAAACATACAACCTTTTGAAAATGGAACACCCAGGTAAATCTTGGCCACAAGCTGTCCTGGACTTTCATTGTTGGAGGAACTTTGCTCCACAACGGTGACCTTTTCAACCGAGAAACAGTCGCCGTATGGAATATCGTGCATAATTACCTTTGACTGCATGACGAGCTTCTCGTTCGCGTCAAGACCATTTTCGTCAAAAGGAACGTAGTCAGTTGTGGTTGTCATGGTGTGAGATGGACCAATGGACGCATTCGTAGGTGAGCGGCAACTCATTGTGCGCACTTGGCCTCCAAACTCCTTCGAAGGAATCCAGTCGCCAAATTCAATTTCTGTATCGCCACGCTCTTTGTAGTATTCGCTTAAACGGTCCGACGTGCCATTTGCCAGAAATAACTTAAAAAAGTCGTAGCTGCTTGTCAACGTTGCGTGAAGCGGGTATTCACCTACCAACTCGCGTTCTTCAGCAGACGTTACAAGAAATTGAGTAAGCTCAGCACCACCTGCATTGTCCACAGAGTACTTGAGCGAAAGGATCAATTGACCAAGGATAGTATCACATGTTGATGTGATGGGCCATGCACATGTAAATTGCGCCGTTCGCATGCCTGTATAGCCAATTAACTCGCGAAGGGACATAGATACTGTGCCAATTTTTGTAGTGAGGTAGCGCAGATGGATTTCGTAAACATGTAGCACCATAATATCAGGCAGACCGCAAAAAACGCCGGAAATTGCTCCCAGCGAGTGGCACTCAGAGCAATCTGAGCAGAGATGATCTTGGAAATGCCATGTCAGCTTTTCGTTCCACTTAATCACAGCTCCCTTTTCACCTTTATCGCCCCTTGGCTTAGGGGGTAGTCTGCCCAACGGGCACGCTCGAATAGTCATGAAGCGCGGATTTAAATTTTGCCACCACATAAAATTGGCGCAACGATGCATCTTTGTCGTAACTCATGTCCTGCACCAAAAGTTCAAGCGCGTGCGATTTCAGCCGCATAGAAGGAGCTTCGACATCATCTCTATTATTGATCAGCAAATTCAGCGCGTTATAAGCATTTTCATTCGAGTCGGAGATGGAATGCAATTTTGGCGCTGACGAGGGCGTACGAGCACCCGAGCTATCCGTCGCCAATGCTGTCTGGTTTGGAGCAACCGCTGCGCTTAGCACACTATCAATGCGTCCGGGAATATGGCCCTGGATCGCGCGCATCGTCAGCACACACAGCCAGGAGCGCGTGGCCATGTCGTCCTCCGCCCTAAAAAAGTACGTGCCGCCAAGAGTTCCTCTAATCTCAATTGTGTTGGCTCCAAACTCGAAAGGATTAGCAGGCTTCACAGCATGCACAGCAAGCGTTCCCTTGACGTTCGTATTGCGTCTTGCTGCAGCAGCATTTGGGTAGTATTTAATCCTTGCGTGTGCATCTAAAACAACAAAGCGTTTCTTCCACTGTTTGCCTCGTTGCATCCCTTTCTTGACTAATAGCCAGCCGTCCAGTGACGCGTCTCCAAGCTCCACAAGGCTCTCCACGAACTCCTGTTTGTTGGCAACCGTATCAGCAAAGAAGGGCATCGAGTAGTACGTGGAGCGGCGTGGCAGCCGCGTGCGAGTGTCGCGCTCTAAGCGGTATCGTACACTGGTCGCGTTCTTGGCGAGGAGCCTGTCCTGAGCTTTTAGGCTTCGGGAAACACCGGAGCTAACGTTGGGTTTACTAGATTTAGAGCGATGTGCTGACACGGGAAACACGGTGAACAGCACGCGGAAGAGCATGACACAGAGCGCCATCCCCACTGTCACAACCATAAACAGATCCACAAACGCATGCACATTGCCTTCCAGCGAGTCGTTCGGAATGGCACATGTAGCTTTCTCCATAAGTTTGTTCAAGAATCTTTACCTTGGTACAATACAGAACAAATTCAGATATGAGAGAATCTATGCGCGACGAAGGTGAGAGACGTATAGCTACTGCTGCTTATACTCTACGTTTGTATGTCCAACGGGATTAGGCTATAAGCTTGCCCTTTCTACACGCGTAGACGTGGCCATTTAACCACATACACATGTTGTATACAAGCTGCCATAATCACCTTGCTGTAATTCCTGCTGCTTGCGTTTCTTTAGTCTTCAAGCTCTTAGATCATAACACGTATATGTGATAGAGCTTAAGACTGACATACTATACTTTAGGACAAACTTCTCCTTTTAGAGGCATTAACGATTCTATTCGATAGATTCATTGCCGTCGATAACAAAGGGCACGAGTCTACTCAAATCAGCAGACGACTCTAGACGTTGCTGCTTCTGTACGTAAAATTGTAGTTAATATTGCACGATTCGTTTTACAGAAAAGTTGATGATGTGCTAATTGTACAGTTCCGGTCGTCAAACTTCAGCTGCCGCTGCGCAAAAGGGATACATGGTCTTTTGATGCCATCGAAGCGGGTCAGCGAGACCCCTAGTGCCAAGATAGTATCACCGGTGAACGGCTTATTGCATCGCCTTTGGCTTCAATTGAAGTAACATGCCAAAATAGCACGCAACATTGCATAGAAGTTAGCGTGCCGCATTCAAACGCTAGTCACATTTTTCAATGTCAGAGCATTTTTCGTGATGCGTTTTGCCTCGATCTGTTTATCAATGACAAGTGGCTGTCTTGATTATCGTAAGATTTCTGAGGCCGAAAGACAATGTCAGAAGGCGCAATGCCGCCCGTAAGCGTTTGTTCTTCAGCTCCGTGCACTGTTGCTGCTATCGCCATGAGAGCGATATGCTGTCCACGCAGTAATTCATGACAGCTATGCAGAGGCCATGAGATTGTACATCATACCTAAGCGAGACATATACAAGATGCCGGACGTGTGCGCGACGCAGGTACCACTATCTGAGCATATGGATGGTTATGAAGCGGCAAATGGGCGGATATTGCATGCTACGATAGGAACGGCAAAGCAAATACCAACCAGCAAGCGGGCTGCCAAGTTATATATATCGTTGGGACCATTTACCGCGATAAGAGGGAAAGTTTTATAATTGAAGATACGACATTCAAAAAAGAATGGAGTGCAAAGTTGAAGTTTGAAGCTGAAATTGTTAGTGAGATGCGGAACCGCTCAAAAATACTAGAAACGTTTTGAAAAAATCGCGCACACAACTCCAAAGGTCTCCTTTACTATCTACATTTTCTTTTTAAAATTATGGACTTACTTCGGATAGTATTTAATCCGACCACACGAGTATACTTTCTAACCGCGGCTCACAAGCCACACGTCATCACCTACACCATTACCTACTGTTTAATATCGCACCGGCGACATCAAATCGAGTAGTGGATCACGTGATGCGTCAGCATCGTGTCTAATTTGGCGATTTATTCGTCCATAGTTGGAAGAGGATGAGCTGAGTGAAAATAGAGTCGCACAGACGTCATTTAGACGCTAATCTGAAGACTCTGAATGATGCCCAGTTTAATGTCAACTTTCAAAAGTGCGTCATAGGTTCCCAAGATAGCTGTACTGGGCTGCATTGATGGTAAAAGGGTGTACGAGCAGACCAAATAAGGTAAATGCTGTCAAGGAATGTCCAGTCCCACGTCATTTGAGGCCAATTTCTTGGGCTCTCAATTTTTGCCCAAGTACAGCAAAAGTTATGCAGAGCAGACAAAGCCATTGTCTCCCCTGTTTAAAAAGGATGCAAGAATAATAGGTTTGGTGCAAGGAGATGCTGTTTTATCAGCGAATTAATCCTTTGTAGAAGCACCGGTCTTGGCACTGCAAGAAACGGATAAGCCCTCAAGTGTCGTCTGCGATGCATATAATGTGGCAATAGGCAGCACACTAATGCAGAGGGATGACGACGGCGTTGACCGTGTCATGTCATATCTCTCCCGGCTTCTCTTCGCAGATGGGGACCGGAAAAGAGTCTATGTTGGTCTATCTTGGTCCAACTATTTCGGTCCAAATTTGCTTTGAATGGCCATGGACAAGCAGCAATTTCCGCTGCGCGAACGAGGCTGCATTTCAAGCATGCTTATGTTACAAAACCCTCACAGCAATAATTCTATATCGCCTGCTGCTAACGTGCAACCCCGTTACATCCTCCTCCATCAGACTGTTAATTTACATGTCAACAATCGAATATTCACCTCATCGAGAATGGAATGTTCAAGGCCGCGTCCACGCTTTCCCAGACCATGACTGAGCATTGCGTTTAGCAAGAAAGGTTGCGAGCATCTATGACGAAGTCATTTTAATGAGTCAAAGACTCCAGGAGAACGACGTCTTCAAACGGCCTCACAAGGCCTGTCTGATAACCTCAAGAAGGAAGAAACGGTGGATCAAGAAAGTGACACGGCTTCCTCCTTCTATGATGAGCATTCTTCGGGAGGCACAATTGTACCCTGACATGAAGCCTCTTCACCTTTGAGTGCTTCTTTGATACATCGTGTCGTTGACGTCCTTACAGCGCTACTCCCAAATATGAGACTAGTATAATTATCAGCCCCCTTGACGAGGTGAAGCAACAACTAATTGATGCTGAAGAAGCTAGACACGCTGGTAAATATCGAGCAAGGTCACACGCCGGAACTTGACGCGAGTACGCTCGACTTTGTCAGTCAAAGGCAAAGCGTCAATTGCCCACTGCATATCGTTCCCGGGAGGATCCTACGAGCCTGTCATCATTGCACGTTGGTTACCCTGTTGCTTCAGCAGCCCGAATTCAAGCCTCACTACTTGTGATTGACCCACTATTAGTTATGAGTGAAGACGGTTCTGTGTCAACTAGCAATCCCGCTCAAAGCTTTCGAAAACGTCGAAAGCAAGAGAGCAGTTTTGCCGTAACGGAGGTTTACCCCGCCATTCACCCGATACTGGCTACGCCCCTGATGTTGACGACGTTGCAAAATCCGCGTTACATGATAGTGACGCTCTTTTACTCACCAAGCAGAGCTGAAGGGGGGAGATCGCTCGAAGTTGCCGTACGAAGAGCTCGCGCGGGGGCTCGCTTTGGGTAAGTCTCCGGCCGACACGGTCGCGCTCGAAGTGAATCACCTCTTTGAGGTTGTCGACCACTCAAAGAAGTCTCTCGACAAAACTGGTTGCGACATAAGACGGCTTTGGGAGCGGTTGGTTTATCTTGAGGTACCAAGACTTGCTGCCGTCGTGTACAGACTCCGAATCGGGTTAACAACAGATTGAGGGTCAGCTGGACTTCTTGCAGAAGTCACAGCGTATGCCCGTGGCTCAGGCCCCTGCGCAGTATTTCGGCTCCAGCCCCTGCTAAAACACGTCAACCTGATCCTGGTACAACTTATAAAATCCAGCGTATAGCATGGGGTGAGTGTGCATTCCATTCGAAAGTATAAGCGTGTACAATAATCCCTTCTTTCCTATTACGTAAAAGCAAGGACACCGCTTCGTCTTGATGACAGCACACACTGCATGTAAACGTAAATTTTAGCATTATATAACACTTAGTCCTTGAACATGTATCCATCAATATTACCTCTGCCTTTGGCATTTGCTTCTTTCTTTTGTTTGTCTTGCCTATCAGCCATTGCGTCACGTCGTATGACACCAAGCAGCGTTAAAGATACGGATTATTTTACTTTTGGTTGGTCTGACATCCTTAAGCCAATCAGCTAATCCTCCCCTACCAAGCCAGAAACGCAAAGTGTTAGTGTCAGCGGGATTCGGATATGAAAAAAACGTATAACTGTTGCCATAAAATACCGTAAAATTTTATGGCAACAGTTATACGTTTTTTTCATATACCAAACACAAAGTTTATAATCATCCATTTCCAACATTTAGAGGATACGGATACACTTGCGAGCGGCGAAGCCGCGTGTAGTGCCGGCTCCTCCCTTTATCACGACTCACACAAAAGCACCTAAGTTCTCACCCATATTATACAATTGGGCCCGCGATAAAATCTGGATGAACAAGTAGTAATTTTTCTCTCGTCCCAATAGACCGCCGATAGCATATCACGATTCGATACTTCAGTCCCTCATCATGAGGAACTAAGATGCGAGGCGTGTCCTTAGCGCATGTGCAATAGCACGAGAGGCCCTGACTAATCAAATATTGATGTACCCTTCCCCATCAGATATATCACAGACTGTTGGGTAACGCTTTGTATGTTTTTTTTTACGTATCTTTCTGGAGCTGTTACAGAGGAGACAGGAAATTTGCTTGCGATGGGGAAGCCAGATGTAAAGCTGGGCTTCTCAGTGCTGTGTTGACGGTTTTGCGTCGACGACATCCTGATACTAGCCAAATCGTGGGAGTTGTTTTGCAAAAAGGTGAAGCGACTGTTAGACGTCTGTGACGATTAAATTTGTTAAATAGCGCGGCCAAGAGCTCGTGGGGGTGCCGGAAGCTAGACTACCTCGGTGAACGGAAAGGACCTTTAATTGTTGGTCTACCAACCACTGTGCTCACAAATAAGATTGCTCTCACACCTATCCTGCGACAATTTATTCGTCAAAAGAAGCAATAATTATCATTTAAGCGAGTGAATGCGAGTGAATGGGCTATCTTCGCGTCGAAAATACAAGATCTCAGAGGTGCGCCAGCCTGATCCAACGAGGAAACCACGTTATCGGGGACCGCGGTATACACCCGAGGTGAATCAATCAACGACGGAAGAACATCCGGACATCAACGTTTGAGACGGCCAGCATAGAAGGTTGGTAGGAGGCGCATCGAGGAAGGAATATCCAGAGTGTAGGCATCACCCTTAACTGAATGACCTTAAAAAGGTCCAATATATCGCGGTGCCAGCTTTGTGGCGCCGAGATTCGTAACCGACGCATCTTGTATTCAATTTGTTGAGAGCAGAACAGAATTACCAACCTTGAGCTTCTCGAGATTTTTGCGTCCGCGTTGATCAGCGGACGCCTTTTGTTTGTCCACTACAGAGTTGATAGGGTCGCGCACAAACCGCACGACGGACTGACGTTGTTGCACGAACGCTTCAATTGCTGTGGCGTTGGACAAGCGAACGTTCTGACATCGGTATAACGTCGGATGTAGTACCCGGTGATGGAAGTAGTTGAGGTGCACGGCGTTCCATAATTGACGTCTGAGTCGCGTCATCTAAGACGGGTAAAGTACACTCGTGCTGAGAATCAGAGCAACGTTGAGTAAGTCGTCGAGAACTGCTTATGAAGACGCCGCCCATACCAAGCAATCTGGTGTTCCTCCCTCAACAAGAGTAAAACAACCGGTCAATCCCAGAAGAGCAGGAACACGGAGATGGCGCGCGTTGTTTACGAAGAAGGTGTCAACCCTGCTGAAGTGTGAACCGCGTTATTAAGTGCAAACTCGGCAATGGGAAGAAAAGATTTCCATGACGCAAACGAAGTAGCGTAGCTACGCAACACATTCTTCAAGACGCGATTAACCCGCTCAGTCCGACCATCCGTCTCAGGGTGGGCAGCTGTAGACATCATTAGGCGGGTACCAAAGATCTCGGACAGACGAGATCAAAATACGGCGGAGAAGCAAGGATCTAGATCTAAAACAATCGTGGCAAGCATGCCATGATGCCGGAAGAACATGTCGACAAAGAGAGTTGCTGTCTACTCCGCAGTGATGGACGTCAAAAGAGCTAAAAGATGCACGATCTTACTAAACCTGTCAGCGATCACCAAAACGCCAGTGCGCCACTGCGCACCGGCGGGTAAACCAAACACAAAATCCATACTCCGACTCTCCAGGGCCAGTACCTCGTCGTTCATGTCACTTGGACTCATGTCTGACATCTTGGCTGGCAGCCACCAACACCACTCACGGTGTTTAGATGTAACATCATTTTCATGACACATGTCATATGTGCCATCTAGTGGGTTCTCAACCACACTATAGACAGTCCTTGAGTCTCGCCCAGGACTTATGACCTCGACAGTTGCAGTGTCTACAAAGTCGGATATTCCGACATCCAACATATTGACCGACTCGGTCCGATACCCGCGCCAAAAGCGCTTTTGCTTCCTAGCAGAGGTGGTTTCATGACTCTCCAGAGCCCCACCAGGGAGCCATTGCGCGTTGCGCCTAAGGTCTTCGATCTCCAATCAATCAATGGCTCATGACGTTCTAGCCATGCCATGCCTAGGATGAGGACATACCTCGCATCCAGGTCTAAGACCAAACAGCGTTCCATGATGTTAAAGTCCAAGAGCTTTACATTTAAGTCCATCGGGTCTTTGGGTACCGTAACACGCGTACCAGTCGCTAAGTGAACTGTGACTGTGTCACTTTCACGCGCTACAAGCGCTTCAGCATACTGCTGACTACCTTCCACGGTGGCACGACGCACATAATTGCCCGATGCACCCGAATCGATCAAAATGATTCATGGCTTTTCAAAGCCCATAATCGTCCATTCGACGACTAGCAAGCCTGGCTTGCATTCTCGTTCCATTATTGAGAGTTTGGATCTCTTTGGTACTGGGCCCTGTTACTTCTACCTCCTAGAGGTTCAACAGAACTCAGTATTCCCAAAGTAGGGAGCCCCTCGCCTACTGGTCCCTGCCAATTCCCCGTGGCAAATAAGAAGGTTTACCCATGGCCGTTGGCCCTTCGAGGCCAAATATGCCTTTGGTGCATGGTATTTTGCCATCAAATGGTTTGTGCGCTTGCAGATGTAATATCTGCGCGCAATTTGCTTCTCCGCAGCATGAAGCTCAACTTCTTCATCCTCCACTTGGCTACAGTCCATGGGTACAGACCCATCAGACGAGTAATTATAACTGGATGGCCAAACGGCCTTAAAGTTGGTCTCGATATTTCATGCCACTCCAACAGTTTCTTCCAATGAGAACGGGTTTACCCGGAAGACTTCCGTTCTGGCAACGCCAACTCGGAGGCCCTTCATAAAGACCGTGACGGTCACTGCCTCAAGCATAGGGTCTGTGACCATGACAGCAATGATAATTCTCAGTTCTTGCACATATGCCGCAAGCTCACGCTTGCCATGGTGACACGCCAAAATCGCGACCGGTTACGGTGTGCTTGGTTTGGCGGTGCATACTGCCGGGTCATCTGAACTTTCAGATCGGCCCATGTGGTAAAAGCATCTTGCAATGATGCACCACATGTGAATGCCCACTGTTTGGCTAATCCACCTAATTTGCCCGTGGCAAAGCCCACACGGTACGGTTCATAGATGATGTCGGCTATAAACATAGCAGACTCAACCTGTCGGAACCAAAGTATAAGATTGTCATCTTCTATGCCGCAAGACGTATCGACTTAATTTGTATGAGTTTTGGTCTGCGGACCACGTCTTGCGCCATATTCGCCATGGGCGAAGGCGCAGAAGAAGGCATATGTGCCTTTACATGCTCTACTAGAGCTTTATTATATTCATATAAATGCGCTTGTTGACCTCCTCTTTGCCCTGGGCGATGAGACACTCTACGCCCTTAGGGTCAAGGATGGGGAGCAGCTTCTGCAACCCTTCCTGTTGTGCCTGTGACAGGCCAACCGCTGACATCTCTTCAATGTTCATTCTCACACAGAGAAGTAGTCACAGACCAAAACGCATGCTCCACCGCTTGTGTGTGCATACCAGGTGCGGGACTGACAACAAGTGCTACTAGGTGAAGCAGAGATACTGTAGCAAAACTACATATGCTCAAAGTGCGGTGGACGACAAGCTTAAAGAGCTTTAGCTTGACCCTCATAAGGCTAGCTTAAGAAGCTAATGCGTTTCGGTTGTAAACAATTTCGTCTTTAAGAGATCACATCTAGAAAACTTCTTTTACATGGACTAATGCTTGAGCTACTAATGTTATTCAAAGCAGTATATAAATTGATTTTAAAACATTAAAAATGTTGAACTTCTAGCACTAAACATAGAAGCACTTGATTTATAATTAGTGCTAGTCACTATTTATCTGGCTTTGTAGCCTTCTAATATGTAAAGAAATGTATCCGTAATACTTAAACTAAGTTTAATGACCACGTGACTCTCTGCCAAGATAGATTCCATGCATTTTAGGTACGGACACATTAACCGGTGTGTTTGCACAGTACACACCTTTGTGTAACCCCGGTACACTTGCCACATGCTCGAAGAAGCTTACACATTATAAAGTCTTTTTAAATGTATATATTACCATATCAATTGTTTGCCATCATGTTATCTTTGAAGCTACAATTGTTTTTTACCACGGGCGATAGCTTAATATGTTGTAACTGATGACAGATGAAAGGATACCGATCAGGTAGGTAGGTTAAGTCATAACACGCGCGACAAAGTAATAGAGTGAAAGTATATTAACCTAGTTATATCTATTAAAAGAATTGTTTCGAAATTCAGCAGCCTTCCTTTACCAATCATTTCGATGTTCCAAACTCTTAACCCCTTTTGCTGCGTTTGTAAGTATTCTAGCGTTGACGAAGCCGTCAATAAAGGAGTAATAAAGCGTTGCAAGCTTGTCTACTGTAAGTTCAAAAAGGCTCCAGCTTTACGAATGCCACATGTTTCCAGTTGTGCTCTTAATTGAATGGGAGAACGAGCTGGTGGGGGCAAAAGTTTTGCTTCGTTTACATGTGCTTGCGCCGGCTGGTATTACTGTTGGGCGATAAAAGCGTGCGGAGAATTAGAGCCCACCTAGCTGTGTTCATTTGCAAAAGTGTCAGCGATTATGTCCGTGCAGCTGATGATTACCTCCTGTCGGTGATAGCTAGTAATGCGCGGCAAGATGCATACATATTATTTGTGTACCTTACCTTGATGTGGTACATGCGCAGGATTACATAATATCGCTCCTCCAATATTCAAACGGTAAGAATGACCGTTGTACAATCAGAACCAGTGTCAGCATCAAACGTAGTTTTTTGTTTTACGCGTCCCATTATTCTTGTACAGCACGTTTGCAATTTATTAATGGGCTTTGATATCATATGTGTGACAGCAGTGTCTGACAAAGACAAACGTCGGCACAAGATAACAATTGAGAAATCGTCCTGATAGATTGTCAACCAAAGACTGGTAATCGCGAAGTTTTTGCTAACCTGATGTTAACGTTTGATTTGTTACAAAATGACAAGTTTAGTGTATATCGGTACATATGCGAATTTTGTCTTGAAATAAGCTCGGAACTACGACGAAACACCAATATGAGCTTGTCTGATGGCGCGAGGACCAGTAGTTATTAATTAATGGATGCTCCCAGCATGAAATTGCCGCATAGAATACTAATTAAAAATAGAGCTGCAAGCACAATGTTCGCAGCTAAAACCCCGATCCAATCGATTGAATTCCTAACAATCGTCTAAACACTTGCCATGTCAGCCATAGCTTTGAGATTCACGACCATGGCGTAGACGAAAAAGACGATAAAAATGACCCAGATCGCGATACACGCGAGCTTGCTGTATCCACCGTACACGCGTAGCTGCTGTGCATCTAGCTTCTGGCGGGGCAGCAGGAGAACTGAAAACAAGGCCATCGCGTGTACACCGTACGAGATTAGTAAAAGCAACAGAAGTCGACTTGTGCCATCGTTAACACTCACAGGGGCTAGGTCGGACATCCAGTCACTGCTGAACGTACGCATGGCGATAGCAATAGTACTTCGAAATGATAACAGCATGCCCTGAGTAGCTCCTTCCGAGCCGTTCTCGGCAATCTCAGTAGCTGGGATCAGCGAGAAAATAGTGATAATCCCGTCTGTAAAGCCCGGAAGGCAACCAAGGGTGTCGTAGAAAGCTTGGCCACGAACCCAAGGCACGTGAACTATCATGAAGGCGCGAAAGGTCTCTGATACAACCATTATTGCGATTCCGAGGCACACACACCGTCGCCAAGATGAGTTGGACCAAAACATTTTCCACAAGACCATGGTGGCTAAAGTGGTCATGTATTTTAGCGCATTGGTCACAAGTGTAGTGTTTGGATTTAGACCTGCCTTGCTGACAAAGACGGCGTTGGCCGAACCGAAGTAGAAGCGGGTAGTCGCTAACAGGATGCACATGAACAGCACAAGCTGCCACATAGCTCGCTGCTGGCACATTCGAAAGAAGGCACTTATGCGAGCGCTGGCTGTGTCAGACGCCGGAAAGATCATTGCCACACTACCTTCTTCTGCGATGGGTTCGTTTGCCAAACCGGCCTCGGCTTGCACCATTCTCTCTTTGCAATTTAGCAGTACAAACGGCACAGGTACTACACACAGTACAGCCATCGTGGCGTAGGCCCAAAAGGAGTCGATGCGCAAGGAATAGTTGCGCTTGTCATCGTCAAAACGAACAAAAATGGCAGTCAGCCAAAGTCCAACCCACTCAATTCCAGTACGAAAAAGCAGGTAGTTGATCTGTAAAGTACCGCGCGTGGTAAGCGGTTCGCGTTGTGACAACTCAATGACGCGCGCGTCCGTAGCAATCTTGCTGAGCATAGTTCCGCAAGTCGCACCAATGATGAGTGCCATGTAGTAGACAATGTAGTAGCTGCGCTGGTCCTCTGTGGATTTGTAAACGTCTACGGTAGCGGATAGAATCATCAATCCCATGCACATGCAGCAGCTCAGTAAGGCGCCAGTAATCATATAAGACTTGCGACGGTATCTGCCGATCGGGAGGATGTCGGACATCAGACCGAAGAAGAAGCTAAACGTAGTGGGAATGCTCAAAAGGCATTCAATCACGATGGAGCTTTCGGATCGATGCAGTAGCAGCGAGTGCAGTAGAGTCGGCCGCATGCAATACCTTAGCACCGCATATATAATACTGCTTTGCGCCGTGGCAAAAAGCAAACCATAGTATGAAGTCGAGAAGAGGCTGACACCGCCGCCTTCGCGCAGCGCACCAAACTGCTGGTAGTTAAAGAACTTGTTTCCTGCCACGAAACGGTTGTTTCCAACCACAGCCAAGGGAAACTCATTACTTTCAAAGCTCATGCGTCCATCACTTCCGTGTGACATGGTCTTGACGGAGTGGACATGCTCCATGCCGACATTACTGGAGTCCTGCATCGAATTAGTGTGTACAAAAGTGGAGACAAAAATTTCCTCCTTGCAAACACCCATGGTTCTTGCCAACATACTAAATTACCAAGATTAACGTAGGGTAAAATTCACAGTGAGACTAAACGTACGGTGACACCGCGGCTTGAGCTTGTCATGGCTTTGTTTTTTTTACAGACGGCTGATAAAATTTATTCTCTAAAAACTGCTGAGACTTTTGTCTTTTTATGTAATTTATACAGATTAATTTTATTTTAATATTGAAACGTATTTATGTTAATTATCACATGCGGCTGTTACGATAGCAATACAAGTTTGTGACAATTAAAGCCACACACACTTCGCTTTTAATATTACACATGTATGTGAACGCGTTGCGCGAGCCGTCTTGCCACCGAAGTGGCTCAGCTTCCGCATGCGTCAGGTTATCTCTCCTTCTCTACAATTCTCTCTACTCTCGCCAGAGTCCATTAAGCGGCGCGTGGAAGGCCGTCCAGGCTGCACGATCCTGTGTACATTGGCGAAGGAGGTACAGGTCTGGGGCCAGTCGACGGCGGTGTCCAGCGTGGTTTTTTGCTTAATCACTTGGATGTCTATCTTATCAACAGGGCCCAGGGAGGGGTCGTTGTTGCTTGCACCGTGAACAAAGAATGACGCGAGCGTACCTAAGCGGAGGTGCCGGGGCTTCGGGGCTTCCGGCGTGGCGGCGTACATTGAGGGGAGAGCGACAAGAGGGAGGTGTGTAAAGAGGGAAGAAGCCCGTTCAAACTGACGGATGCCGCGAAGCGCCCCGTGGAGGCCCGAGCTAGCATCAGCTTGCCCAAGCCTTCCAAGGACGTTACCCTAACCCGACCAGGATTGAAATTACGTAGTGCAGCTGATATTACGAGGTTATGTATAGCATACAGAAATAAGTACAGAAGGTAACGCGTATGTCCATTACAATTTTTTAGTGGATCCCGACTCAACACTCACGGGGCGTAGACCTCAAACGTATAAAGACACTCCGATTTCGTGCCAAATATATATCCTTTTCATCTCGTATAACGGTCAACAGGGTGATTACACTCTTCTGGATTGAATTTAAATACGATTCCGTATGGGTTGAAGACAAATCCTTGATCGCGTAGAAAGCTTCACGCGATTAGGACAGCGCTTTCGATCATCCATTTCATAGTGCAGTTTCGAAACGGTGCAATGCTTCTAACCACTTATTACTTCCAGCAAAATCTTGTCACAGTTATAATCTTCCTGCAGCGCTGCAAGTGAAAGGCGCCAGAGAAAGACTTTGACTCAGTGAGTCTTTTGCTTATGCAAAGAAACGGTTTATACTAGAATCAAGCAGTCACAGACTCAAGAGATATACGCCTAAAAATCCTGTTATCTTATTTATTTAGAATGTAAGCTGAACTTTATTATTGCTTACGGCCATCGCAAATTGACCAAAATGCGAGGCTAATAAAGTAACGTAACGCATGTACGGGTGGCTGTAACGCCATATGGGGGGAACTAATGTTCTTCTTGTTAAAATTGCATTATTTCTGAGTAGTTTGGTCGATTTATGCTAGGTACGTACATGCATGAAGAGGCGTGCGGGGTGAAAAATGTGACTGCTCACGACTTAGCGCCTGTCGTGTTATTAGCTTCGGTCAGCTTCGGCTGCAGGAAACAGCTTAAAGATGCAAGACGGATAACACATGGGCACCAAATAATGACAGAATCCTTATATTTTGAAGCTCCAGACTTCCTCCTTAACACTAGCACAAGTGCTAGCGAACATGTTATGAAACTAATGCTCAAAAATACAGACGACGCCAGCGCAGCAAATGCACCGCCCAATTTGCAGGCTGCGTCGGAGCCAGCTGTGGTCGTTCCTCTGCATGTTTACGAAAGGAGCTCGGACACCAATGCGCTATAAAGGGTATTCACAATGCTGAGCGGCATAGACGAGCACATGAAGAAAATGGAGCTGTCTTAGGCAAGGTTTGCTGAAGATGAGCGCATACGAGATGCTGTTGACAGTGGAATGTTCAGCTCCATTCCCGTTGCTGACTTTGTGGGCAGGCTACATCGAAGGCAGCTTTAAGCGCCAGAATTCTATGCGATCGCGTGAGAATTTCCACGCAGTTCACCCTCTTTGACCCAGACTTTATCAACATCAAGATCGGATCAAGTCCGCCGAGGAGAGTGTGACTCTCCCAGTCGACGGGTCATCAAGGTGAGGAAAGACTGGCATACGGTTTTTAAGTACCTCTTCCGTCAGTCGACATTCGGGCGCGAGTAGGAGGTCGGGATAAAAAAATGTACTTTGTGATCACCGATGAACCACATTATGGAATACCTTATTCGTCGGTCGACAGTTCGGACGCTAGTGGAAGGTTGAAATCACACAAAAAATTGTGATCACTGCTCCACCACAAGATGATCAAGTTGAGTTGCTGGATCACGTAAGTTCATTTAGATTTGCGGATTACGGCGACCTCATCAAGTTGAAAGGGATGCAGCTAGACTCAGATAGCCTACGAGTTTTTATATAAATAATTGAATATGCAGCTGCTAGAGGATCTTGTCTTTAAGACTCTAAAGTTAAAGCTGACCGAAGCTTGGAAAGGGCCATTACTTGTACCAAAAGTGTCCAAGAACTCGATAAAAGAAAAGTCGCCAGCTGATGCATGTAACAACGTTCACCATTCGCACCTGCTTGCATCCCTTGTATAAGTAGACTTAGCTAAGTGCATAAATTACATAAGTAGGCGTACGCTGTACCCAATACAGCGGGTGCTGAGTGCTGTGTCCAAATTAAATTGCAAGTAAGAGTCAGGCCAATTTTCAGCCTATAGGATGTGGCGATTAAGGTGCCAAGTCAGTAGCTATTCCTAGACCTAGTGGCACTCCGCTATGAAGGTTCAATTCTCGATCACTTAGAGACGTCACCTGCAGATACTTGATCCTGCTAGGCCCTGTAATCACAGTTGGTACCCATTTGAATTGCTCTAAACCCAAACTTTGCATTCAATGGGCCTACTGCGATCCCTTACCCACTGGCAATACCACATACTGATCATTAACTGTTATTGCGTGCATGGTGGTTCGATATGGTGACTTTTGACCGACCAGACTGATCCTGACTTCATCTGGCAGACTAAGTGTTCCATCGGCCAAATTCAATCAAATTACAGCCGGAACCATCAAATCTATGCCCTAGATCGCCTCTTGACCAACCTGATCGCCAACCCGAGCATCGAAATAATACACCAGCGATCAATCCAAAGTTATCTTGATCTTGGTCTTGGTACGTCTTTCTGTCACGTAAGTATTCTCGCCGATACCTACACACTCTTGTTGCTTACTCTCATCTATGACAGATCTTACCTTACAAGCAAAGCGGTGTCGACGATCACAAGACTTCAGCTCCTGAGTTGGGAGTAAGGACGGACCAACTGGACGGTCCCGGAGTCCACTAGCGATTTTACCTAAGGCTTTCAAAAACGTCTAAGCAAGAGGACATTCCTGCCGTAACGGAATCTTATGCTACCGTTGTCATAGGGAAGTTGATACCGCCAAAGGACCTGATACTGGCTACGGCCCTGATGGCGACGACGCTGCAAAATTCAATACACATGATAGCGGGCTATCGAGCAGAGTTGGAGGGGGTAGGTTGCTCAAAGTTGCCGTGCGAGGAGCTCGCGCGGGGGCTCGCTTTTAGTATGTCTCTAGCTGACAAAGTCACGCTCGAGGTAGATTACCTCTTTGAGGTTGTCGACCTCTCTGAGTAGTCTTCTGACAGACTAAATGCGAGATAAGACGACTACGGGAGCGGGTAGCTTATCACGAGGTACCAAGACCTGCTGCCTTTGTGTGAATACTTAGGAGCTGGGTTGAACGCGTTCGAAAGCATACTCTAATTTAGGATCCATCGCTTGTCGCGACTCTTATTATCATCGCTACTGCAAATTCCTTTAGCTCCAAGATCGCAGACACTCTGGTCCGTGAGTAAAGATTGCTTTACTAGATATATCATCCATCTGTAGTTGCGATTAGGGGCTACTTGTCTTTTAAAGTAATTTATTAGCGACGGGATCGCGTCCAGAATGTTCGCTAAAGGCACTCCCGATACCGATTTTTAAAATGATCCGATCATCTTCAAACGCAATTTAGATAGGATTGGATCGGTTGCTAATAATGATTTATGATGTATAAAAAATTTATCATACAACTGATTCGGTTTCGACCTACTACCGTAATTACTCTGATCATCCTTAAAATCAGAGAGTTATCTTATGATCATTCATCGAAACTCCAGAGACACATCATACACCACTTAACATACTTCAAAAATGATCAGCATCAGATATCGTGAGCACATGTGAAATACTGCAATGTTCAATTCTGTTTTAACTTCTATGTCTTCAAAATTGGGCGCATTCAATTTGTGGCACGGGGGATTCTTCTTCTTTATAAAAAGATGTATATTAATCCATCGGGTTTGTCGAATTATTTTTAATCCAGCAAGTCATATGATTCAGCGCTATATGCAGTTTTTCTCGACATGCCTTGTACAAGTATTATCATGCGTGAAACGATCAAGTGAAGCACCATTGAAATATCAGTAGGGGAAAATCGAGCCAGCGAACGCGGTAATGCCGCGTTGTCGAAACGTGGTTGTGTAAGACATAAGCGGTGCCGCGCACGACCTGTGGCGGGTACCAATGCTCCAGGATACGCTGTACCAGCCAACGCCCATTCCCGGCGCTATCAACCACTGGTGAACGACCCTCACGCTGGAATCGGACGCGTGGCGCAGTAACTTGCAGGTCCTGCGCCAACTATGAACCGGTCACTTGTGAAGCAGCTGCCGGAGGTCGGTCGGCGGATGAAATTCGTTGACCATGATGCAAGTTAAGCGCGTAACCCAGCCTAACCTGCCGTGAACCTTGACTTCTTTTGGTCAGAGGTCGACTTTATCAGAGGTACTTTTACGTACCCTTGACAGTTAACGGCACATATCGACCCAACTTTACATATAATAGCCTGTTATCGTAAAGAGTCCTTCGTCCTGATAA